AATTCACTCCAATCATACTTTTTGGTGTCTAATGATTGTTGCTTTTGAAACGCGTTAAACACCTCGGTCGCTTTATCCTAAATTATGCAATTAGATTATATTATCGCACACCGTTTATATTATATTATCCAAACGTTAGGTCAGACCTGTGACAGGTCAATTGTTTTTGCAGTCCTTCAACATTCAATTAACAAATAACTTCCATTAGTTTTAACATTAATAACATTACCTTTAATACAAATCACATATACAGCAGAGTATTAAATATTACAAATGAGAACTTAGGGATAAACACATACAGAAGTCTTAAATACAGTAAATTAGACTTAAACACAGGATATTACGTGACATTAGGATAGTTTAAAAACGTCTCGAGTATGTTAGTAGCGGACAGGTAGGTTCATTCAGCAGTAAAGGTGACATCAATTACTGTTATCTGAATCATTTATGACAATATATTTATTAATTGATAAACATGTCAGTAGTAAATACCCTTGCTGCGGCAGTGTTCTCATTGATATCTACGGCATAAGCCCATTGAGCCTCCGTATTGGTCTCCATTTGTTGTCGTAGTTTTGAGTCAACTTCTGTTAAATATGTCTTTCCTTGCGTCTCATCGGTTATTAAAAAGTGATTGTCAACTAAAAAGTATATTATCAATATATTGTATATTTGTATATTTATTTCTATTTATTTGTTAACAAATAGCATACCATCAAATGTCCAGCCAGTTTCTACGCCCTCTAACTCTTTATCTAAAAAGTCTTGCAATGGTTTAAAGTACTCAAGAAGTGGATTGATATCCATTTTGTCAGTTCCAGTCAATTGTTTTAATATATCTGGCCATTTCAATAATGAGCCCACTGACAACATATCCCTAAGAAGTTACAATAATTTACTTTAATTACTATTTTTTTACTGTAAATAATGGGTTTAAACAAACTTTAGTTTAGCACCGGCGTCCTTATCAGCATCGATATCGCACTCATGCAGGGGAACAGCCTTTTGACTGAATCCGCACAAAGTTTTATGAAACTGGAACTGTAGGATATGGGATACAAAATATCTGCAAATACAGTATATTGAGTTCATTTATTAATAATTTATTTGTTTTCAATTTTGAAATATATAAAACAATTCAAACCTAATATATTCAACACTAGCTGGCACGTGATACTTGGCACCTGGATCAAAGTCATTCTCGCTTCGCTTCACAGGCGGTGACAAACCTTGGTATTCACCTCTCAATTCCCACCAGTGTTTGTTTAAATTGGCTGAAGATGTGGTGCCGGAGAAGACATCCCACCGATATTTATCCATAATGAACCCAAATGGCAAAAATGCCAGTTTATCCAAAGCCATCTTAAGCTGGTATTTGATATTAATTTTCTCCATATCCACCGATTCATCCAGAGTTAAGAGACCAATCTTCTGGAGATGTGCCGGTGTTGACACGGATAGTGCCAATAGATCACCAATTGCTTCGTGAAAACCTTTTAATAAAATGATATTATAATGATATAATTGATAGAATAATAATGAATGTCTAAACTGAACCTGGATTAGCTCCCTCGCGATAAACAACAGGTAGTGTTTTATACTGCATATAGTACTCGACGTGTCCCATCTCGTGGTGAATGGTGATCAGGTCCTCCATATTAATGTTAGTGCACTGTTTGATACGGAAGTCATCACCCGATGCTGCCGTGAAATCCCAGGCCGAGGCGTGACTGAAGTTAACAATTCATGTGTTTTGTTAATTCTTTAGGTATTTAATCATATTTGTATGCATAAATAATTTTAGTTTTAAAAATCAAAATAAATGTGTAATTAATAACAATTATTATTATATAAGCAAAAACAATGACATACCAAACCATTTGCTTATCGGCTGGCTTTACAATAACGGATTTATCCCAAAAACTTGGTGTCATTTTGTCGAGACCTAAATCACCAAAGAATTTGTCCGACAAATCAAACATTCGTTTTGCTGTGTATTGCTATTAAAGAGTTTAAAAGTTATTTTCATATTCAAATAATTCACAATTCAATACTTGTTTCACTAGTTCGTCGGTCACATCAATGGTAGTAACATCAGGGTATGGGTCGACACCGGGAACGGTATTCATAGTATTACTCCACGATTGAGCCCACATATTACCCAATAGGTGTGCGGGTATAGTGCCATCAGCCGGCATGANATAGTATTACTCCACGATTGAGCCCACATATTACCCAATAGGTGTGCGGGTATAGTGCCATCAGCCGGCATGACATCGGGATAGGCTGCCTTCAAATGCTTTCTCACATACGCGTGAAGTTTCACATAAAAAGGCTTCAACTGATCCATCAGTTCCTGAGTCTGTTGTTTAATATCTGGCGTTTCCCATGAGAACAGCCACAAGTCGTCCAAAGTCTTGAATTCTAGTATTAGTGTTATAATTAAATTATGAGATATAATAATAATGGTCAGTTAAATGATGAGTACCTTTATCGGGCAGTTTGTTAAGAGTGGCCGCTTTGTTGCCTAAAGTGTAGTACTCTATGAAATCGTTTCTCATTTTCTTTCCGGAGGCGTCCCTCCAGTTAACCCACGCCTCCTCTAACTCTGTCGGCTCTTTCGATTCGGCCATTATTTTATCCAAATCTGTAAATTCATATAATTATTATCATCTCAATGATCATTTCATAATAATTATATCAGCGTTTATACCTGGATCCAATTCGAGATCACACTTCCCACTGACACACACTTTGGCGGTGCTATAAGTCGTCTCCATATTCCCGGTCACTTTGATGTACTATTTATTCATGAAATTATAATGTATTTAATTTCTATTTGTATTTATTAAACAAAGTTTACATTTTTCTCGTCGTCGCCCTCCAGAGCGGACGTCCCGATTACCGCCATTTTCTCAAACTGTCTTTTATATTGCTCTTCAAAACCACTCCAATCATACTTTTTGGTATCAATTGACGCCTGCTTTTGAAATGCATTGAAAGCTTCAGTCACTGTATCCTAAAGTTTGCAAATAATCATAAATTAAAATTTGGTTTATTTTTCAATTAGTGGGCGATTTGAATACCCTTTCAGCGGATGTCTGGTCATTGATATCAGTGGCATAGTTCCACTCAGCGGTCGAGTACTTATTCATCTCAACCCTGAGCTTCTCATTCGCGTCTAACAGATATTGTATGCCTTCTTCTTCATCCGTAATCAAGTCATCGTCTTTTGGCACAGTTTTGCACTCAATCCGCAAATATATGATTGATATGACCAACAAATATATTGATATTTTCATTATTAATTCAATCTAATGTGTGGTCAAATAAATGGCAAAACTGTCTCAAATACACACTCAATGAGACCTAAAGATGTATTAATGTCTAGAATTGAAAATAAAACACCTATTATAATTTTTATAGAATAGTGTCAATAATTATCAAATCTACTATCAATATAATTATATAATATGATACCTGGATTCCTCTATTGTTTTATAACTATTTATTAAATAATTATACTATTAGTCTACCTGTATAAGAATTTAATATTTGATTACACTACCGTAGGGTAAGTACTAAAGGACCGTGTACATTAAAGTGTGTTTTATGATGTTTTCAGATTATGCAGGTTTGATATGACAGGCAAATAAAATTCTAAGTAAAGATATTTTGATATTTATTATTTTATTCATGAATTCATATACAGTATCTAGTGTAGTTTAATAAATCTTAAATTTACTTTACCAGCGCAAAGTTCTTATTTGTTTTAAATGACTAACAATTTTTACAATGTTTTTATTAAAATGTCAAGTAAATGAATATTGATTGTAATAAAAGATACACTATGAGCATCGAAATGAATATACAAAATAAAATTAGGTTTGAATTTTAAAAAATTTCTATGTAAACATTCTGACATTTGACACTTTTAACATTTGCTCAAATATATTTTCAAATGAATAGAACCTGGTGCTATAATCTATTTTTATGGTTAAAAATGTTTTTTAATAATACAGTAATTAATATATTGTTTTATACAGATTTTAAAATTCAATCACTGTGTACGTTTATTCAAATAATATATAATTTACATGAATCCTATTTAAAAGTTAACTTAATTTATTTACAGTAAATTAGACTTTAAATTAACTTTAAATTAAATTATTATTTAATAAATTCATTTAAGTTTTTAATAAAACTTTATTTAATTCATTATTACTTTGATATGGGTTTTAAATAAAACTAAAATTTTACTATATAAGAATTATATTTTTAAGAATATTATTATAATTCAACAATTTTTATTATTATAATTTAGCACATTAAAATTAAACATTACTTAATAGTACATTATGTACCTTATGTATCTTATTTACCTGAAACATCAATGTACCTTATCAATTACGGTAATAAACTATTTAATTGATTCTGATGTTAATATAATAATTTCCATAAAATTTCGTATTATATTTATACTGTATGCACTTATATGGTATATGATACAAAATGTTTATAATTTTATAATAGCGATAGTTAACAGTATATTGACTTACACTCTTTGGATACATAATGTCTTAGGAACATCCCGTTCCTACATTAGTCAGACGCACATTATTTCTCCATTTTATTGCTTATTTCATACTGCTCAATTATTTATATCAATATGACATACTGTTCAATCAATATGATAAACAATAATTTCATGTCTTAATTAACAAACATAGAATCTAACAAATCAGTGAATCTGCTTATGAAAATAAATGTAATAATATAAGATTATAATTTATAAATATTGTCATAATTATTCCAGACCACAAATATTATTATAGAGCTACTAGTTTAATATAAGTTATACATATAATCTATTTTAATACAGTATATTATTATAAACCTATTACATATAAGCGTAAATAATATTTCACGAGTATTAAGTCCTCGATATTTAATAATATTTGTATTATATAGTAGGATTCTGAGCAACAAATATAATCTAACTAAGTTTGTATTTGATTTTTATAATAAAGTGCTATATAATTTAATATCTATAGCGAAATTACATTAATTTATATCAATTATTAGGTTTTTGTGCATTTATTTGTGTCAATAAATTCTCATTTAAATTTCACTGAATTAATTCAAGTGTCTAAGTATCAGTTGAAGCTTTTTTACACTATATTCAGCTCATATTAATTTTGTCATTCGCTTTGCATGTCATAAATTTTAATAAAAATTTGTTTAATCTAAATCAATGAATATAATTTAAAATTTTAAATAGCTTAACACCAATCAAATATTATGCCCAAGCTTTCAATTCAAAATGAAGCCAATTGTTTGTTAAAATATTTTGCTTGTTCAGAATAAGTCAATGATTAATTATTAATATAATAATCATAACCTTTTTAAAGGCACTGATTTATATATGCATTTCTGGAAGTAATTCAAACTGTTTCCTAGTATCTAAAGTTTTGTAGTCATTTTCAGGATTGAACATTCAATCAACTTAGTAATGTGTTAATAACATATCAAATCATATTATATAATAACAAATTGCTAAAGTAAATATTTGATGTAATAATAAATATAGTTTTCAGTCAAAATGCAAACTGTTTCCATTGCTTTGGTTATAATTTTATGTTTAGTATGCCATAGATCTGAGGAGATAACAGATTTTAATGACTATAATGTTGTGTATATTTATGTCCCGCTAGATAAGTATATAATTATTCGCTTTGTATGGAATAATAGTATCAAGAATAATGTGAGTTGTATTTTTAAATTAATTTTATATTTTGGAAATTTTATAAATCCTTATAAATTGTTTCCAGGTTCATTTCACATTTGACTCATTTAATAACAAACAAAATATGTTCAAACTATTGGTGCCTATGAACCAAATGAAACAGTTTAAAATAGACTATAATTACGAAAAGATTGCATTTGATTTGATTGACGCTAATTGGGCTGAAAAGG